TTTTTAATTTCTGATGATGAAATTAGAGAACATTTCAAATGGTATTATGAAAAATATGGACAATATATGCCAAATTATTGGTAAAAGAAATAATTAATTAATTCTTTTTCATTTTGAATTTAAAATATAATTATATTAAATAGAATTAAAATTAAAAACTTGAAATGAATGATTTAAAGTGATGATGATATTTCTTTAATTCTGTTAACAAGATGTAACAAATCAATTTCATTAGGATCAGCTAATTTAGTAATTCCTTCAATAATTGATTGACGAGAAACATATTGATTCATTAATTTATCTGAAGTAAATCTACTTAATGAAGCCTTATCTAAATAAATTGCTGTTTCCCTAACAAGTATTCCAATTTGGTCATTAGATACAATCATTTCATTTTGTAATGGTCCCCAACTTCCCCCTGCTTTATAATAAACTTGAATTCTATACATATTATTAATTGGATAAATTATAATATGGGCATTATTAAATTGACTTGTAATTGTTAATGGATTATAATATTTAGACTCACAATAAACAATATGAACTCTGTCATTTCCTACATGTCTTTTCTTTTGTTGATAAATTGATTCTCCTTTTTTGATTGGTATTTTAACTACTTCGTGATAAATAATTTCAACTCTTTCATCACAATAATATAATGCTTTGTCCCCATCAGTTTCAAATTTAGTATCTAATTTTCCACAATATTTGTTCCATCCTTTAAGATTAATTTCTTCACCTAATTGTTTAATAAATTCATTATATCCTTCTGACCCTTTAGTATTTCCAAGAACTTCTTCTTCTTTAAATTGATTAACACCAACATAAACAATTCCTAATTTATGTGTTTCTTTTGGTCTTGCTTGGTCTAATTTATTTCTCCATAATTTATATGTTTCTTTACAACTAAGTATTCTTAATGGGATTTTTTCATTTGGTTTACAGTTAGTTAACCAAATAATAGTCTTAACAATTTCAGTAATTCTTTTATTTTTTGTATCATCTTTTTCAATTATTTGGTTTTGTATTTTTTCTTTTCTTCTTTCCTTTTTAATTTCATCTTTAGTAATTAAAAGGATATTCTTTTCATACTTCAAATCTTTCTTCATGTCTTCTATTTCTTTGATAATTGTATTGTTATTGAATCTTCTTTGTTTTCAATTTCAAATAATTCTTTATTTTCTTGTTCTATTTCTTCAACTAATTCATCAAGTTTACTTTTTACAATTTCTTCTTTACTTTTAATTAAGCATTGGCGAGGTGAAATAAGTTCAATTTTGTTTTCTTTCTTTTCTTTTTCCATTTCTTTCCATTCTTTAATGTCATTTTGATTTCTTATTTCTTTTAGTCTCCATCCCCATTTTCCAACAAGATCCCTAACAATAATATTAACTTCTTCTTTGTTTTCATTATAATAAACACAATAAACTCTTTCATTCATTACAAAATTAATTCCATTTTCTTCATCTTTTATATAATCTTCTCCACTCTCAAAATCATGTACCGAATGCATAAGATTCTCAATAATTACTTTCCCTTCAAAAATATCATCTATCGTATCATCACTACCATCATTAACACTATTACTATTATTATTTTTTTGAAATATAATAAAACATTCTTTGACTGTTGTCTCACTAATTCTTTCAATAAGGTTTCGACAATTTAACCAAAAACTTCCTATCCCATTTACGATACTTCCTCGTTGACTTTTTTCCTTTGTTGTATATGTTAATTTACATAGTGTATCTATAATATATTCAATAGTTTCATTAGGTAATTTTTCATTCATTTTAGCCAAATAATTAATACACATTTCTATGTTTTTAACTTTACTACATTCTAAGTCTTGGAAATCACCAATAATAAGGTCAATTAATTCTTCTAAAGTAGATTTAGTTAATTCTCTATCATTTTCATCAGAACTTATTTTAATATATTCACCGATTTCTATAATACATTTTGTAATTCCCCAAACTATAGATGTGTGACAAAACGTTGATACTAAAATGTTAATTAAATGTTTATAGCATTTAACTAATTCAATATAAATTTTATGTGCTGGTTTAGTGAAACTAATTTCTGTTTGAATTTCCTTTTTTTGTTTAATTTCTAAAGCAGTTTCACCAAAGTCTTTTAAAGATTGAATAGAATGTAATAAAGTAATAACTTTCAATCCACAATTTAATGTAGGGTATTCTAATCTTTTATCATATGGAATAAAGGTATTATCATATTCAGGAAGGGTATTAATATTTGGTAATTTTTCTAACTTTTGAATTGATTTAAGAATTGTTGGAATTAATATAAAACTTGATGCATTCATTGAAGAAAATACTTCTGTAAGATTTTCTAACGCATTAAATAATTGTGTTTGGTTTAAAGATTCTAATGAATAATCGATAATATTATATCCAATCTTAGAAGTAATTTTTCCTTTAGAATATAATTGATAAAATCCTCTAATAGTTAAATTATTAATTAAAGAATCATTACTTTTTAAAGAAGATAATAAATAATCAGTATATATCATTTTTAAATTAAGTTCATTTGATGAAGAATTAGATTGAGAAATATTTTCATATTGAATCAAAATAAGTAATGAACTAATTATAACAATATGAATATTTCTTATTACACAAAGAGAAAGTTCGTTTACATTTATTTGAGTGAAAAATTTAATCATTAATTGATAAAAATAAATAAAATCTATTTGATTCCATTTATTAGTTAAACTATAAAGAAACGGAATAGATTTTGGTACTTCAAGATTTGAATAAAGGTATTCATATTGTATTGGTATTGATGTATGTTTATCTATTGGTTGTTTATTAGGAATTTCAACTACAGGAGATAGTAATGCTTGTTCAGAAATAACAAGTTGATTAGGTTCAAATTTATAATAAACTAATAAAAGAAAGAATAAAATATGTCCAATAATATCAGAAATACCATCAACTACTCCAGGAATATTATAATATTCTTTAATTGTTCCTTGTAATATTTTCCATTCTTTTTCATTTTTACTATTATAACATAACCAACAATATAATAAAACTTGAATCATTATTCTTGTGCTTTGTTTTTTATCAACTGAACAATTTTGTAAACGTTCTAATTTACCAATAGTAAATATTTTAATAGTATCAACTAATGTTCTTTGAATCATTGCATTTATATTTGAAGAATAAATATTTAATACTATAACATTTAAACAATTTATAAATATTAATTCTTCTTCATTATTTTGAATAATATCTATTCTCTTTTTTATTCCTTCAATAATAAATTTTCTAAATTCATTATATTCAATTGAATTAATAATTCCTTCTATTTTTGTTTGACAGATAAATACTTTAAAATACCATTCAATACTATCTTTAACTATTGTTATTTTTTCTCTCATTGAAATAGAATAAACTACTTTTAATATTTCAATAAATCCTGGTATTTCATTTAGTAATTCAATTACTTCTTCTTCATTAATTTCTTTTAATGAATTGATAATGATTAAATGAATTTTTTCACAAATTTT